AAGCAACCAATATGAGAAGAATCTCTATTTGTGCTTTATTCACTATGCAAAAGCATTTGACTGTGTAGATCATAACAAATTATGGCTAACATTGAAAGGAATGAAAATGACAGAACAATTTATTGTGCTTATGCAAACTTATACCTAGACCAAGCTGTTGTTGTGCGAACAGAGCAAGGAAATCCAGCATGGTTTAAAATTAGGCCAGGTGTGTGTCAGGTCCTTTCTCTATACATATTCAGTCTTTATTCTGAGAAAAATATTTGAGAAGCTGGACTCTATGAAGAAAAGTGTGGTATCAGGGTTGGCAGGAAATTCATCAATAACCTATGCCGATGGCAAAACCTCATTTTCTGAAAGTCAGGAAGACTTGAAGTACTTGCTGCAGAAAATGAAACACTGCAGTCTTCAATATGGATTGCATCTCAACATCAAGGAAACAAAAATCTTCGCCCCTGGACCAACAGACAACATCATGATGGATAGAACAAGGTCTGAAACTCTCATCCACTTCATCTTACTTGGATCCACAATCAATACACTTAGCACTAGCACCCAGGAGATCAGGAGACATATTGCACTGGGAAAGTCTCCAGGGACCTCTCCAAATTATTGAGGAGTAATGGTGTCAGTTTGAGGCCATGGTCTTTTCATTCACTTGCTGTACATCTGAGAGCTGGACACTAAGGATGACAGAAGAAGAATTGATGCCTTTGAGCTGTGGCATTGGAGAGGAGTGCAGAAGATACCCTGAACTGCCAAAAGAACAAATATGTCTTGGAGAAGATGCACCCGGAGCGCTCCTTGGAGGCAAAGATGATGAAGCTTCATCTCACACATACTTTGGGCATGTTGCCAAGAGCGGTTATTCCTAGGAGACGGACCCCATGCTTGGAAAGGTGGAGGGACCATGAAAGAGAGGAAGACTCTCAACCAAGTGGGTTGACACAGTGGCTGTGGTAATGTGCTTGAGTGTGTGAGAGATGACGAGGATGGCACAGGATAGGACAGTGTTCTGATCTATTGTTCACAGGGTTTATATGAGTCTTATTTGATGGCACCTAACATAGCAAGAAGCCATGCCCTGGAGCTGGTTCGCTGTCCTAAGACACGCATCTTTATCTCACCTGGGCTTCATGTCAAATGCCCTGGGCATTTGGTAAACAAATGTCAGTGGCTCTACCAATCTTGCTCAGAATGGGTAGCCAATGAATTCTGCCTCTGATCGCGGCAGGAGAGACGAGGCCAACCTTGGCCATGCTCAGTAAGAGCCAGCAGAGAGAGAGGCCAGTGTAAAGTAGGACTCTGAAAGTAGACTGCCTGAATTCTGGGTCTACCACTTATTAGCTGGGCAGCCTGGGACTAGTATCTTAACCTCTCTGTGCCCAAGTTTCTTCACCTAGAATGAGTATGATAATCATAGATACATTATGGGTGTTCATGCAGATCTAATGCTGTGTAGTGTTTTGGAATGGTGCTTGGCACCATATTGTTGCTGTCATTATTAGGTGCGACCCTATGAACAGCAGGCCTGAACCTTGCCCTGTCCTGCGCCATCCTCACAATGTCTGTCATGCTCAAACCCGTTGTGGTCCTTACTGTGTCAATCCTCTCTTTCCCAGCATGATGTCGCCAAAGTATGTGAGACAGAGTTTCACCATGCTAGCCTCCAAGGAGCACTCTGGTTGCACTTTCTCCAAGACAGATGTATTCTTTTGGCAGTCCATGGCATCATAATACTATATAAATGCTATTAGGCTGTATTGTCAGAATACTTGCCTCTACTTGCATTCTTCTGAGGAGCGCTGAGCCAATATCTCTGATACAACTAATCTGGGGAGGGGCTCCCGCTATCCCCAGTTGTAAATATAGACTTAGTATGGATCTCTCCTAAAAAGTAAAGTTAAGCAAAGGATTTAGGTGAACTGGTTTAAGTGATGAGGACAAGGAAGTTACCATTGCTGGTACTGGGACTCTTCCCCAATAGCATCCTTTGCAAGACTGGTGGAATTGCTTCTGAATTCCATCACTGAGAGGCAAGAAGATGGAAGCATTTATTCAACAACTCCCATCTTTCACTTGGTGAGAGCCTCGTCTGGGGTTAGTAGCCCTAACAGCAGGCACTTCCTGCCTGTGTCAGACAAAACACTGCTGGTGACCACCGAGGGCGAGGCAGCAGAGGGGTGAGGGCACCAATTGTCTACCACAACTTGGAATCTGTTTGTGGCACACCACTTGGAAAACTCGGCTTGAGGGCGAGACAGGTTGGCAGCCTGAAACTTGCTAATCTAAACACTGCTGCCGTAGACACCCCCATGTATCCGTCACTGTATATGCATGTATGTACTTCCACAGGAGAAACTTCTAGAAGCCAAATCAAAGGGGCAAAGGGTACATATACGCATTTGTCACTTTGCAAGATGCCGTCAACACCGGCGTCATGTGAATGAAGCTACCTCTGTTTGGCCCTCGTGTGTGCTGGCAAGACATCTGCAACACGCTTTGATCTTTGTCAATCTGCTAGACAAAAAAATATCTCACACTTTGAAATTTCGTCTCTGAAACTGTAATTGCATTTGCCATCTGATATACTGGAAAACCATCTGTACTCCAAGTAAATTAATGAGTCTGTGCAATGACCAGCAGGGATCGCTAAGGGTGACTGAAGACAACCAGGCATCCTGAGCCTCCTGGCCAAAGAACTCAGTCTTTGTTAGGTGCCATCAAGTCGAGTATGGCCCATAGTGACCCTGTAAATAACAGGTCTGAACCTTGTCCTATCCTGTGCCGTCCTCACACTTCCTGACACATTAGAGCCCATTGTGGCAGTCACTGTGTCAATCCACCTGGTCAAAGGTCTTCCCTTCCTCCACCAGCCTTCTACCTTTCCAGCATCATGTCCCTCTCCAAGGAATAGCCCCTCCTAGCAACATGTCTGAAGTATGTGAGGGGAAGCCTCATCATCTTTGCCTCCAAAGAGCATTCTGGCTGCACCCTCTCCAAGACATATTTGTTTGCTTTTTTGGCTGTCCATGGGATGTTTAGCTCTCCAACAACACAGCTCAAAGGTATCAGTTCTTCTTCTGTCATCCTTCGTCATTGTCCAGCTCTCAGATGTATAGGAAGTGATTGGAAAGATCAGGGCCTGAATCAGACACACCTTAATCTTCAAACTGACGTCATCACTCCTCGATGATTTGGAGAGATCCCTAACTGCAGACTTTTCCAGTGCAATACATCTCCTGATTTCCTGACTGCTGGGACCAGGGGTGTTAATTGTGGATCCAAATAAGATCAAGTTGTTGACAGTTTCAACCTTTTCTCCTTCTATCATGATATTGCCTATCGGTCCAGTGGTGAGAATCTGTCTTTTTTTACATAGATGCAATTCATATTGAAGGCTGCATTCTTTGATTTTCTGCAACAAGTGCTTCAAGCCCTCCTCACTTTCAGCAAGCAAGGTTGTAAAATCTGCATAGTGCAGGTTATTGATGAGTTTCCCTCCAATCCTGATGTAACATTTCTCTTCATAGAGTCTAGCTTCTCAAATAATATGCTCAGCATACAGATTGAAATGTAAGGAGAGAGAATACAAGCCTGACTTATACCCTTCCTAATTTTAAAAAACTCAGTACCAAGAATAAAATATTCTGCCCTCAAACCAAACCAATGACTGATCAAGCCTCTAAACTTAGGCACTATTTATGGCAAATACCAGGGACAGAGGGTCCTAATGGTAGAACGAAGTGCCTGCAATCAGCAAAATGCAAGCTGGAGGACAGATCTCTGGACAAATGACCCAGTTTCTTCAAGCTGTGAAATGCAAGGAGAGAGGGAAAAGCAGAGAGAGAAAGAGTATAGATTAAAAGAGAGAGATTTAAGAGGGAGAGGAATTGCTGGCTTTCTGCTTCCTGCAAAATGAAGTAGACCCTTGCTGCAAAAAGAAAACCCCTGGACAGAATGTCCAAAACAGACATAAGGGGATTCTGAAAGCTGCACAAAGGCAGGGAGGTGTGGGATCCCCCCATAGGTAGTTTTCCTTTGGCTCCTAGACTTGGGGCCAAGGAAGTCAGCAACTTGGAAAAGCCAACAGCAAACTGAAAATAATAACAAAATTTGGTCTCTGAGAAAGGAACAACCTAGTAAGACCGAAATCATTCAGACAACTGATGGTTCCTTTATGTCATTTGGTCCTTTTCTCAAATGTCATTTCCGCTCAAAGGTCTTCCCATATTACCTTCCATCCCTCCCTGCCTTTAACTCCATTTACCCAGCTGGCTTTTATTTCTTATCACCATATAATATACAACATATTATACTTAGGTCCTTCCCTCCTCTGCTGGAATGTCTCCTCCTCCAAGACTTTATCTAGTTCACAGCTGCCTCTGTGTTCAGTAAACATGTGTCCACGATGTGAATGAAGCAAAGTGTGAGACACAATGTATGTAAATTTTATATGCAAATCAATATAAAATAAAAACTTTTAAAAGTAAGCATGTGTCTGGTGACTGAATGAAAGCTTGTCCTTGCCTTTGCTTAAGCCATTCCTTCCACATGGAATGCCTCCCCTTCACAAATCTGCCTTTCCTAATCTCACCTATTCTTTATGGCTGAGCCTATGCCACCACTCCTCCAGGAAGCCCTCCTTGGTTAACTCTATGAGTTTGGAAATTGGCCTATTCATGCCCTTCATCTACTAAGCTACTTAATTTAGGTGCCAGGTAAAGACTGAAAAGAAACTGAGACCAAAACTATCACTGGCAAGTCAGTTCCCATTTGAAGACTGTAATCTTTCAGAAGACCACCAGGATTTTCTTCTGTGGGATTAGTGAATGGATATGAACCACCAATGTTTTCCACCCAGACACTTTATTATAAAGACTGAGGTGTAAATACGAGGGAGAAGAGAACAGACAGGCCCAAGTTTTATTGAGGTGAAGAAGGGCAGAGGTGGGGCTGTCAGAGGGGGGACTGTGGGGCAGATGGCCTGCAGGGCACTGTCACTTCTTCCACTCCTTCTTGTCATAGTCCCACCGGGCAGCCAGGCCTTGCACAGGGTTCCTCTTCATGTCCAGGATGCGCTGCAGTTGCTGGGCCTTCTGGTCGTCTTTCAGAGTGAAGGGTTTCTCCGGCAACACTGTGAGGGGGGAACCCAGAGGCAGCTCAGGACCCTGCCTGGACTGCTACCCCCAGTGCCTGAGTCCCCAGACACATTGCTCCTGCCTTGAGGAGCTCCCTTCACCCCTCCCATCACCCCATGCGACAACGTGGCCCAAGACCCAGAGTGAAGTCTAAGGTGGAACTGAGGTCAGAATCCAGAGGTTATTTCCTTAAAATCCCATTCTGAGATCATTTCTTCTGCTCCCTAATGGGGTTAGGGTCAGATGGGTGCAAGTCTCGTTTCCCTAAGAGCCTGGCTGCAGGATGTGGCTGGAGGGATGTGGCTCAGACCTGCAGCCGGGTCACCCACTCACCATAGACCCGCTGCCACCAAATCAGCAGGGCCGTCAATCCGATGAAGAAGACGACGCTGCCTATCACTGTCTTCCACTCATTGGAGCGCCGGTTCATCTCTGCAAATGTCTCGTTGAACTGGAGTCGGTACACTGGAGACAGGGAGCAGGGGAAGGGGCATCAGGTGCATCTGCCCAAGGATCCTTCACCTCCTCACCCCCACAGCAAATGCAATTTATTCAGTGAGGGTCCTGGAACCAATGCTCATTGATACTGAGGGATGAGGGGCTCTTTATAAACGGCAGTTGAACAAGTACTCTTACTCGCCATAACTTCATCATCACCTGCTTCAACGCTTGGCCTTCCTACTCAGTACTTCCAGCATAAATGAAAGAACAAATGCCATGACTGCAGTTCTCAGAGAAAGCCCTCAAAAGATTGACTTCAGAGAGAGAGAGAGATATTGCAGGCTGAGCAACCACGTGGGGGAATGAGGAGAGCATTCAAGCAAAGAGATGGGGGAGACAAAGTAAAACTGGGGTTTGGAGGAGATTTCTCAGCGGATTGTGGGTTGGAATAAAGGAGAGCAAAGCTGTGGGGTTGGTGTGGCATTCACAGGGTCTATTTGGACATCAGCCAGGGCATGGAGTTGTGGGGCTGATGGGGCAGGGCCTGAAAGGCCTTGAATGTCAAAGCAAGGAATCTAAACTATAAGCTGTGCCAATTTGGAGCTGTGGACTAGGAACAAGAAGTCCTGGTGGTGCAGTGGTTAAGTGCCTGGCTGTTAAGAAAAGGCTGGCAGTTAGAATCCACCAGCTGCTTTGTACGAGAAAGACGTGGCAGTTGGCTTCTGTAAAGATGATGTCTTTGGGACCCCTCCAGACAGCTCTACTCTGTCAGCATGAACTCAATGACAGTTGGGTTTGATCATTTGCTTTGTTTTGGCCTTGGAAATGTTTTCCTGGAGGACACGCCTACCCTTGCCACTGTCCCTCTTTTTCCTAGATTTTATGATGCTGGTCAAGTGCTGTCACTAGGGGAATTCAGGAACTTGGGACAGACTACACAACCGTACACCACCAGCTGGAGAGAAACAGAAATGACCCCAGGATTTGAGGCAGTGGTGGTGGGCTGGCTGGTACCACAAGAGGGGACCCTAGGGCAGGAGTGTCACTAGGACTGGTATCACCCAGCACCCAGTACAGCAGTCGGTCACCATCACCCACCAGTCAAGGTGCTGACCGGTGGGCCACAGAACCTACCATGGAACAGGGATGATCTATGGTCAGTGGTAGGTGGGAGGGGCTGAGGACAACCTAGGAGGAGGCAGCACTCAGCCCTGCATTAGGTGGGACAAGACCGCTCTGCCCCCCAGCGTGAGTTACTGCACTGGGTGACATGACATCAACTGTGGTGATCACACTTAGCTTCCCCAGACTGGGATTCCAGGGAATGACTCAAAGATTCACTCCCCAGATAAGCTCAAAGCAGATCAGTCAATCTCTTAAAATGCCTGTGACTTGAGCACAACCAGGAACTTCTCACACCGCCCTGATCCACTCTGGGATCAGACCCACCTGGCTCCACCAATGCTGGGCTTGTCTAATAAACATTAAATAAACAGTGGCTGATATTATTATTATTACTCTAATACAACAACCCCAGCTCCTCACCAACCTGGTTGTTTTCTTGGTACGTGTCCCGCCTCTTAGGTGAGCCAGGCCACCTCCCTGTTCCTCCTGCCGATTGTGCCTTAACCCATCCAGTAACCAGAAGATGTTGGCTCACACCACCCGTGTTCAAACTCAACAAACTGAAGCTGAGGTGAAATAAATTCTCATTTTCTCCCATAAGAAGCTGTCTGGAAGTTAGCAGCCCACCTGGATGATTGTATTATAAAGTGAAAGGTCAAAGTGCAGAAGAGAAGACGAGGGGGTCCGGCAGGAAGAGAAGAGACTACACACTGACCACGGGCTTGCGTGTGCGCACTCCACACTCTGGAAACACAGGCACTTTTTCCCAGGAGCTTAGTGGAAGGGAAATATTCACCACAGTTCCTTTTAAAATATCGTCCAAACTATGAGATATCATCTCACCCCAGTAAGAATAACAAAACTCAACAGAGCAACAAACAAATGCTGGCGAGGTAGTGGAGAAACTGGAACCCTTATTCACTGTTGGTGGGAGTGTAAAATGGTGCAACCACTATGAAAGACTGTATGGCACTTTCTCAAAAAGTTGTAAATAGAAATATCACTTGACCCAGCAATTCCACTAGTGGGAATATACCCTAAAAAACCAGAACTGCCACCCAAGCAGATATATGAACACTCATGTTTATTGCTGTGTTATTCACAACAGCAAAAATATGGAAACAACAGAAGTGCCCCTCAACAAATGAATGGATAGAGATGCTGTGGTATATTCAGACAATGGAGTACTATGCAGCACTGAAAAACAAAGAACTCATGAAATATACAAAATGGGTGACCCTGGGTGACATTATGCTGAGTGAAATATCTCAGTCACAAAAGGACAAATAATGCACAGTGCCACTGTTGTAAAATAGGACTGACATCAGTATTGGGGGGGAAACTAAGAAAAGAGGATAAATAATGCACAATGCATTGAAACAGATGATGGAAAGAACTGTTTAAAAGGAATATATGGTTAGGTATTACTTGCATGACAACGGTCCATAATAAGAGCAGTGTAGTAAAGTGGACTGGAATGGGAGTGAGGAATTGTATGACAATTGAAGATATTTTTTTTTCAAAGAGAAAAGCGAACTGGAGTGGGGGCAGAAAGGAAAATATATTCCCCTAATATATCAAGCTCTGGTGGCCTAGTGGCAAGAAGCTGCACTGCAATTCCAGAGGCACACGATTCGAATCCACCAGATTCTCTGCTAGAGAAGGAGGGGCAGTCTCCTGCTGTGCATGCCCTCAACCTGCACAGAAGTGACCTGGTAAATGCACAGGATTGTGCTTGATAATACTTCACTCTGTGTGTGTGTGTGTGTGTGTGTGTGTGTGTGTGTGTGATTATGATAAAATAAAAAAGGAGAGGTACTATCCATTTCTGAGGTAGATGCAGACAAAGAGACCAAGACGCTGAAGAGAGCTGAGAAGGAAAAGAGGAGAGAGGGCTGGCAATGGGAGCTCACAGGGTGAGGAGAGCCAGCTTGCCTGCATCTATGCTCCCAGTGCCTGGCACTGCAGTACATGCCTCTAAGTTGTAGAATGAATGAGTGTGATAATCATGAATGTCTCTCCACCAGAGAATCCCCTAATGCTGGCAGTCACGCTGGATCCAAGGGCACAAATATCATCATAGGGACACCTCTAGTGGGCAGGGCTTGGGGACTTGAATCCTTCTAGCCCCCCAGTTTCCAGTCCCTGTCCCCAGAGCCACCTCCTCTGTCTCCCTCAGCTCCAGCATTCCCTGTACCACTCGGTGATGCCTATCAGCCCACCACACTCCTGCCCCTATGCTGCTTCCACTGCCTGGCAGTGCCCTCCCTCAGCCCCCAAGGTGAACTGGAACATGCCCTCCTCTGGGAAGCCCATCAGGATTCCCTCCCTTTCCCCTTTGGGCCCTCCTCATCTAACCCCACCCCTGATACCCTGATACCCACCCCATCCCATCCTGACCACACCAGACATCCTGAATTCCAGTTAGGGGGTCTATATGGTTTCCTCCATTGGACTGAGAACACCCTGAGGGCAGGAGTCACCTGGTGATTCAGCTGTGTTCCCAGGATTGCCCAGCTGTGCATAATTAGGAGCTGCTGAATTGTATGTGAGAGAATGAGTCATGAATTCTTTGGATTGACCTTCAAGGGGTTTGGAGTTCAGATTCTCTCTGTCTCTGTCTCTCTCTGTGTCACTGTCTCTCTGTCTGTCTGTCTGTCTGTCTCTCTCTCTCTCTCTTGGTTTGGAGTTCAGATACTCTCTCTCCCCCCCATCCAGCCTCTGACACTTACAGGCCACTTTCTCAGCATGAGTCAACTGGGTCCAGCTGCCCTTCTCCTTCTCCTTCAGTGCCTGCTGCTCTGCGGTGAGCTTGGTGCAGAAGGGCTCATCTGGCATCGGGTAGGAGCGCTGCGCATGGTAACTGACGTAGGGCGGCATCTTCCTCTCACTTTTGGCTGTGGGCACAAGGGAAGGAGCTAAGTCCCGCCTGCCACTGGCACACGCTGGCACTGGCCATGCTTTTAAGAAAGAGGGCTGTAGTTTCTCTGAGAGCTGTTGTCTGCCAGGAAGCACTCTAAGGCCACCAGGTGTTCTCCACCTCCTCTCCTCAGACTCACTCCGAGCCAGGTGAGATTGTGGCCCCAGATGGTAAGGAAATGGAGCAGCTAACTACCCTGCTGGAATTCACAACACAGGAAGGGCCAGCGCCAGGTATAAGCCCCAAGGGGTCCTGTGGGTCTCCTGCATGCGTAGAATAAGGCTGGACACAAGGAGGTGGTCTTAATAAAGGTTTCCCTGCTTATTGACATCAGAGATGTCCAGAGGCATTCTTATATCCCCTTGACCAGCGGCATTAGAATTGCCTTAGGCAAGAGGTCTTGGGTCTTTTAGTAACAAGCTCTTGGGGCCTCAGTTTATCCATCTGAGAAATGAAGATAATGTTACAACATTCGCCTCAGAGAACTGTTGTGACTGACATCTTATTATGTTAATCCCTGAAAAACGTTTATCAGAGTGAGGCCAACTCTCATGTTGTCTCTAGGACAGGGTAGAACCACCCCATAGGATTTCTGAAGGTATAATATTTATGGAAACAGACTGCCACATCTTTCTCCTACAGAACAGCTAGTGAGTTTGAACCACTGACCTTTATTTAAGCAGCCAAGTACTTACTTAACCACTGTGCCACCAGACCCACAGTATGGACTCTAAATGTTATTGCTCTTATTTTTCTAAAGGTCTGGAAGGCCTTTCTGTTATCGGGCTAAAGTTTCTCCTGCTTTAGGACTCTTTCTTCTAAAGAGCACTGACACTATGGTTTGAAAATGAGGACTCCGGGTCAAGATTCTGTCAACACTGTCTCAGAACACAAGGGACGCAGAGGCCTGAGGTTTGGGAGCAGTCCCCAGAGGCTTGAGTAGAGAGGTTGCTCACCCTGCAGGCTCTATTTCCTGAAAGAACTTGGTCCAGGTCCAAGGAGAAGGACTGTGGAAAGTGCTTTGGGGAAAGACACCAGGTAGCAGGAAGGGGCGACCTGCAGATAGGTCTCTCTTGGCCCCTAGCCTGGAGCTCTGATGAGAGGCAGGGGCCCAGGTCTTACCTGCATCTCCTGGGTTGTGTACCTCTTGAACTCTGAGCCATCTTTTTCTGAGCACCGGGTTCCATGCAGCTCTGGAGGCCATCTGGGGTATGCAAGTGTATGAATTCTATCCCCAGGATTCCCTACCCCTCCTATCCCCAAACCGCACTGTGAAACCTTCCTTCCCAGAAAAAGCAGGGAGGGTGCCCAAGAATGTCAAGGCCCCGCTCTTTCTTGCCTCCTGAGCCTTGTCATTTTCTTTGCACAGAGGTGGGACTCCTAGGCATTCAGATCCCCCTCCTGGAATCTCAGTTCACTCTGGGAAGCCAGAGGAGGCCGTGCTCTTGGAGCAGGCACTGAGAGTTTGGGGCTGGGACCTGGGTTCCAGCTCAGGCCAGAGACTTCCCTCAGGTGTCTGTCCCCAGAAGAAATTGGTGAGACTCTGGTCGGGAGGGAGCCTGTCCTGGAACCATAGCCCTTCCTAGCAGGGCCATCTGCTAAGCCTCTGGCCAGAAGGTCTGGGCCTCATCTCTTCCCACTAATTGGCTGCCTACGTGCTGGAGAGCCTGCTGCTGCATCTGGTGGGGGAGCAGTTCAGCCCCTCATCCTGCAGGGGCATCTCAGGGCCCAGCATCCTATGGGGGTGGGGAGAGATTTTAGAAGCAAGGGTGGGACCGGACCAAGTCACCAGGTCGAGGGTGGGCGTGAAGCACGCAGCTGGGGAAAGGAAGGGGGCATTTTATTTCCAGAAGAGAAAGGGGTGCCCAACCAGGGGAGAGCTAGACGCCCCCAAATTATCATCACATACGATACGATAGCGGGGGCGCCTTACACCTGTATTTGGGAATTGAGATGTTGCCTTACATGAGAACAGAGGACAACTCCCAAGAAGTCCCAACGCTGCCCTACCAGAAGTTCCCCCCTCTCCCCAGGACAGTGACCACAGGGGTCTGACCGGGTGTCGGAAGCAGGGTTCCAAGTAGCGAGTGGTCTGAGCAGCGTGGGGCTCTCACCTCTCCTCCAAGGCGTGTGGAGATAGCGTGACAGAGACGACCCAAAGTCGGCAGAATGAGTAATGGAGAACGGTCTGTGTTACGGACCCCAGCACAGCGCCCGCCCCCGGGCCCGCCCCCCAGCTCGCCCTAGGGCTGCCCCCTCGTGGGAACGTCCTGCCTCCTCTGGCGTGGGAGCACCCAGTTCACGTCCCTGGGGGCCACAGCCTGGGGTCGGGGAGGGATGGGGAAAGGGATCACAGAGCGACTCTCTCCTCAATTTCACCCCTGAGAGTCCTGCCTCTGGAGACCCTCCATGACAGCTTAGGTTGGCCAGCATTGTCCCCAACTCTCATTTCCCCACTGACTCAGCCCTCAGGATCTCCTGCCTACAGACCTTGGCTCATTGATCTCCCCTCCACCTGGAATACTCTTTCAGCCCTTTCAGAATCAAATCTGCCAGCCAGCCCGGGCATGCCACCTCTTCCAGGAAGCCTGCATGGATTTGAGAGGTGGCCTGTGAAATACCTTTCCTCCTATACCAAGGGAGAGAGAACTGCTGGAGTTCAGATCTTTTCTGTGTGGCCTCCAACAAAGAACCTCTATGCGCCCGTTTTTGTTTCTGTGAAAGGGAACCTAATGAGTTGCTACCTCACAGGGCTGCTGTCAAGGGGATTTGTTATCAGAAAAGCATCAGACAAGTTTACTCAAGAACGATTTATTATGATCAATTGCAGCTGTAGGAAGCCCTAGTGGTGCAGTCTGTTACATATGGTGCTGCTAATCTTAAATGTCAGCGGTCCAAATCCATCAGTCACTTCAAGAGAGAAAGCAGAGCATTCCCTTTGTGTAAAGCATGGAGACCCAATGGAAGTCTGCCTTCCACTGAGTCTGCATTGACCCAACGGTGGTGGGTTTTGTTGTTGTTCTGGATGTGGTAGGTGGTGGTGGTGGTGGTGTCTTTGGAGGGTGTAAACAGTGAATGCTCAAGCTCCACTGTTAAAGATTGGAGGCTTGAGTCTCCCTAGAAGTGCGTCCGGAGAAAACCCTGGTGATGTCCTGAAAAATCAGCTACAGAGAAGTGTATAGAGCACAGTTCTCAGACACAAGTGAGGAACCAGGAGCCAGAACCAAAAACTCTAAAATTCCCTGCTCTCCTGTCAGAACTGACTCGTAGCTGACCCTCCATTGGGTTTCTGAGGCTGTAAATCGCACAGGAGATTACCCATCTTTCTCTCAGGGGGTTGCTGGTGGATTTGAACTACCAGAGAGGTTCTTACAGTACTGTTGCTTACCTGGTAACCATTTAAAGATAATGAGATATGAGTAAACCCTGACTGCCCCTGCTCTTCTATTCTGTAGAATTCACATCTAGGCAGAAGGAATGACTGGTGAACAGGTCCTGAGGCAAGCATACACAGCATGCTGAAAGAACAGAAGAATGACCAGTTTGTCCAGTGTCTCATGAGGGAGAGGGAGGCAAGAGGAAGAGGCAAGATGGTGCCGGGCTGGACCACAAAGCAGGGCCCCATGGGCTTGTTGAAGACCTTGGATATTATTCTAAAGACAATGTGAAGTCACTAAAGGTAAGCCAGGGAAATGTGCTCAAATCCAGGAAGGCATGCCTTTGGTCAGTGTGATCTGAGATGGTTAGCATACTGATGGGGTGGGGGGTGGGGGGCTGATGAGTAAAAACTGTGGCCTGGAACTGGTGTTTCTAGATCTTACGACTCGACTCTGGGCATATGTGGTGTGCCCAGCTCCTACCCAACCCATCAGAACTCCCATAGACCAGTGAGGTAACTAGAACCAGATCCAGGCAATGTCTGGAGGGAGATATTTTAGTCCTTGGTTAAAATGAGCCTGGGAGAAGAAGAGAATCTCAGAGGAATGGGCTGGGGAGATTCTAGGGTTGCAGGAGCCCTGTCACCTCCTTTCTGGGCCCCAGGAAGGACAGACACAGCTCTACAAAGGCAGTTGGGCAATCTTTCTCTTCAGGAGACCCCATACCGCCACCCAGAGCCCAGGACTAGCTATGCATGCTCCAGAGTGCTCTGGCGCCCTCTAGTGGTCACTCAGCCCCAGGAAGGAAATTTAAGATATGCGAAAGATAACTTCCAAGAGGGCGGTTTCTTCCCTCCAACCCTGAACAGTGTGGACAAAGGGCAGAGGAAAACCCTCCTCAGGCACTTTGAGGACTTGTCCGCCTTTTAGTCTTCTTGCCAGATATTCTCAGAGTCAGGCAGGCGGCCCCTGGAGGTGAGGGTGTGCCTCTACCCGAGTGAACGTCCAGTCTCCCCGGGTGACTGGGCAGCACTAGTTCCATGTCTCATCTGTCCCTTCATCTTTTCAGGCTCCTTGCCCTAAGGAAAGGCACCGAACCTTCTGTTCTTCCTTGTCCTCTCCCATCCCCGCCCCTGTGGGAACTCCAAGCCCCAGATGCGGGGTGATGCTATGACAGGGAACATCTGTCACAGCACACGCCTGGGCCTGCGGATGGTGAGTTGGGCGGGACCTCGGGTGGCTCGTGATTGATCTCCAGCATCACGTCGCTGCTGGAGGACGCAGAGTAGCGTCTCGTCTCGTTGTCCCGAACCTAGAAGTAGACAGACGCTTCTATCCAGAAGGGGTTTAGGAGTAGGCATTGCATGTGAGTGCAACAGACTGCAGGCCTGTCCCTTTCTCTCAGGCCCAGAGCTCCGACTATCTGTGGGGCAGCTCGCACTGAGCTTGGTCACTTTCAGGAGCTCCTGAGAGTTTGTGGACAGACTTGAGCCATGGTCTCAGAATTGTGCCCACCGACCCCACCGTCCAGGTTCGCAGATTTATGCAGAACCCACCACCTCTGTCCTGCCCAAGCCAGAAACTGGGCCCAGAAAGCGAAACTAAAAAGACATGCTTAAAAAGAAAAAAGAAAAAAAAAAAGACATGCTGGACAGAGTGCCATGGACTTCCTACCACTGGCCTCTTTGGAGCCCAGGGAAACTTTTTTTTTTTTTTAGAGCTGTTTTGTTGTTTTTTTAAAAATACATTTTTAGGGAACAGGGAAACTTTTTAAGGGACGCGATCTGGTAAGGGGTGGAAGAGAGTCAAATATTGGGAGTGTGGGATGATGGAGAGGCGGGGTTAATAAAGAGGGCGGAGACTCACATGCAGGGGCAGGGCCTGTAACCCGGGAGCAGGGTGGGCGGGGCCAGGTGTCCGAGAACTAGGTGAGTGAGCCTGGAGGGTGGGGTCCGGAGGGCGAGGCCTGCCACGCTAGGGCTGCAGGAATGTGGGTTTACTGCCCGCCTGACAGGGCTCTGTGATCTAGAGGCGTTGAGCTTGTAGGGTGACAGGCAGCCCCACCGGTGTCCTGAAGGTGCCGCGTGCAGGCTCAGAAGAGGGCACATAATGGCCTGCAGCCACCAGGGAGCATCTGGGAAGGGGACTGGAGGTGGTTCCAAACCAGCGCCTCCCAGGGCTGCCATGAGATGGCGAGCTACCTGGCCCTACCGGGAAAACAGTTATCACAGGGTGACCGGGGGTGGTGGACGCCTGTGGCTGAATTTCCCTGGGACTGGACCTTTGGTTTGGCTCCTGCTGTTCTCTTTGCACCAATTTTCTCCAAGATAGACACCCTGGGAGCAGGCGGGACTGACCTAGTGATCGGACCCACAATCACAACCCACCCCTCACCCCAAAGGCTTGAGGTTGCCGGTGTCCAGTTGGAAGAATCCTTGGAGAGCTGACGCAAAAGGTCTCTTTGGGGCCCGCCTCTCTGGATATCATTCATACGTTAATCTCTGCCATTTGTGGTGAAAGTCTGTGCTGCTATCTCGAAGGTATTGAGGTTCGAATCTGCCAGCTACTCTGGGTCAGGATGGACAATGTCCTCTCCTGCGATTTCCTGCCCCTGAAAACCCCCTGGAGGGTCAGCTATGTGTTGGTTCCCACTGGATGGTACACAACAACAACTCACTACACTAATCCTCCTGCTCCACCCATGTTGTTGTTGTTATGTACCTTGGAATCACAGAGACCTGGCTTTTCAATCTATACACAGAACAGATTATCCAGGAGGCTGGACTCTGTGAGGAGAAATGTGACATCAGGATTGGAGGAAGACTCA